AAAGGAAATAAGGAAATAGCATTTTTTTTGAAGTGTTCAAACAGATAAGCTGTTTTATAATGAATAATTTTGTTTATTTAGAGACTAGTATTTTTTAACTTTCTGGTTTTATTTATGAAAAGCTATTACTGCATTTGTAGTCAAATGTTTAATATTACTCTCATTTCAGGTATTCTATTGTACTTGATCTCCACCTTGTAGTGTCAACAAAGAGAAAATGAAGAGGGGAATATACAAACCAGACTACCCTTTTGCCATTCGGAAATAGATATGGCCAAATGTTAGTTGAGTGAAAAGAGTAACATTATCGCTGAAAGACAATAGAATCATTGAGATGATCTCCATACTTAATTTTGAATAATCAAGTATTGAAGCTGGTCTTTTAAAACTGCCAAGAGAGATATTATAACCTATAGAAACAAACAGTTCAGCATATAATTTATCCATCCACTAAAATATATCCTAATAAATACATGAAAGTTCCTTTTATCATATCCTCCCTTATTGTGTATTCATGAGTGTATATTAACATTTCCATATTCCCAAGACTAAATTTGACTTGTATTATCTAATGTTAGAATACTTTCTATTTGCTCCTTATAAAAGGCTCCTCTGGCCAAACATAGTAGATACTAATTTCCAGTTATTTTGAGCGACTGCTGTGCTTTCCGATCTATCGTTTATTGTTTATTCTAAGTCCTTCTTTGGCTAAATAATCTGGCCCTAGGCAAGCTTTTCCAAGTACCATATAACAAGTAGATTTTGTGTTAGGGGTGCTGGACCCTTTAAAGATGCTGGTTTATCTGATGCTTCACTGTGCCGCCATGTTCAATGAGTCTTTTTTAAATTGGAATGAGAAGATTTTGCTTTCAGAAAGTTTGGGGCAATTTAAAAATAAGCCAACACAGATCACAATAGAGTTGATTATAAAGTTGGCTTCCAGTTGTTGAATGTCTGTGATGTGCCATGCACTTCCAAGATAAGCCATATGGAAGTGAAAAATGGACCTAGAAAGTAAGCATTTCCCCCAAGCACCGTCAGCAGACCTGCTGGGTAAATCCTATATGGTATTCCCAATGGCAAGCTTTATCATTCCATCAACTTGCTTTTAATAGGTTGCCATGAAAGAGGAAGTATAAATTAATTCCATAGCGTACATAGCGATGGTCAGCTTGTTCTTTCCATAATTATGAAGAAATGAAGCTACCACATAAGGGTAATCACTTTGTAATAATAAAAATAAGTATCTCCCCCAAATTTGGCCAGAAATCTGACCTGTCTTATTTAGGTTAGGCCTCAGATTGAGTTACTGTGTGAGGTTTCTAACCACAGCCTGGGTGGCATGTTCTGCCTCTCTCCTTTTTCCCCTCAGACACTAAAATATTCTCTTCTCACATCTGATTAAAATCCAGGTTAAAGGAAGGGAGTTATTTGGAAATCTCACAACTATGCATCTGAAGAACCAGCAGGTGTAAGCATCCCTCTATATTTAGTTAGTAAAGCTGATGGGTTGGGGGCAGGACTGCATCTCATTTCACTGTGGTGTCCCCATAGTTGCTAAGATCTTGCCTTCCACCTAGCCACTCCAAAATACATATCCACGGGGATTAATAACATGTTTCTTTTGTTCACATTTAGAATGATTACATTTTTATAACAACTATCATAAAAAATTGGGAACATAGTCTAACTGAGAATTAATAATAGCTGTTGCCTATTCAATGCTTATTGGGTTTAGAGATTCAGTGCATGGTTTTTGAGCCTTATGTTAGCCCTGTCATTCTGGAGATATTGTACCCATTTAACAGATAAGGCTGCTGGACTTTGGTCCTAAAAATAGAGAAGCAGTTTACCAGCTATCCAGTTGGACTATCCAGCCTTCTGTGCATCAGTCCTAAAGATGTCAGTCACTTCAGAATCAGGTAGGAAAAGGCCAGCATTGGTATTTGCATTCAGGAGCTGCTGCCTTCTTGTTCTTAGATGCTCAGAGGGGAGCCTCCTATCCTGGGCTCTGTGCATAAAGCCTAAAACCAGTAACTCTCTTTAGGAATACCTTCTGAGATCTTCTCCCAGGGGAAAAGAAGAAAAGGTGGAGGGAGGGGCTATTGTCCACGTAAAAACATGTCTAACTCTTCTCCTGTGACCTTGTTTTGCCTCCTCACTCACTACAGTTCCCAATTGCTTTCTATTGTTGAAATCAGAAATTATTTGTTTAGTGTATGGCTAAAAATGAAGGGCTTAAAAGAATGTCAGTAAATCCTAGCCCTTTAAATGTAGCCCTTAGAAAGCAGATGAAAGCATGTGGGCTGCTCAGAGAATGAGGGAAAGAAAAGAGTACCCAGGTACTAACTAATGAAGGGAAGAATGGATTGCTGTAGCTGTTCTAGAAGCCTGGGGAATGCTTCTAACCCTGTTGCTGAGACCTTTATGTGTGCATGTGTACATACATCAAAATATTTATTTTTCATAAACTCCCTTTGTAAAATATTTCTTGAGAGAAAACAACAATGTTTAAATATATTTGCTTGAAAAAAATTGCTCCCAGTTTTTTGCTGTTGAGTTTGAAACATTTTAGAGTGGGGTTTTTGTTTGTTTGTTTGTTTTTGTGGGTTTTTTTTTTTTTTCTTTCTGGTAAAGAGTAAAATTTGAGCACATTATTTCAAATGAGTACAAAAGCTTCCTTTTCTTCTTCTTTTAGCTAAAAATGTTCACAACATTCCCTCCTTTAAGTAATGTTTTCTGATATTCCTTTTTCCTAAAGAAGTCAGAGTCCAAGTACTTGAAGTATGACAATAATTAGTGTAACTTCAGTTTTTGCTATGTCTTAGGGATGGAGTGGAGTTGTTGATGGAAAATCACTAAATAATGAGACGACTTTTCCAGAGGTCACATAAAAGCTGGCTTACAGTTCTTTCCTTTATGTCCTTTGTCTTATCTCAACAAAAGGTCTGATGATAATCAATTCCCAGCTCTGAAATATAATTGCATTGAATTTGGTTCAGTACATCATACTGACCTTATAGATCATTACATTGTGTTAACCTCCTGTTTTTGTGTCTTCCATAAAGATATTTGTCCCTGTGGGATTTGATCTGCTGATTTTGATTTGAAAGGGTTGCCATCCAGCTGAAACTATTAAATAATGAGTTGAGTTTCTCTCTTCATTTTTTAGCTCAACACATTGCTGGCATCCTCTCAAATGTCGCAGTAAGAGGTCTCCAAAGTTACTTTTGTCCTTTGCAGCGCAACATCAACTTGACATTTATTTTTTATGGTTTAAATCAGAGCCTTTGGCATAATTTTTGTGATTTTCTTTCAGTCTGAATCAGGGCTACTTAAGGAGTGTTGGCTCTTTTCAGGTGGTATCCTCTGCTAATTCCAGCCACATACAACTTGGGTTTTAATGGATGGTCAGAAAACATGAGTGCTTAGTCAGGGTCATGCTACATCAATATTCTCCTTAGAGTATTGTCTTTCCGTTCTGTTACTATTCTTTAAGTAGAACATATCATAGAATATAAACATAGAAGAATCTATTATGCTTCTAGAAAACATATGTTTTAAAAATCCTATTAAGACACAAATTGTCCATCTTACTTGAACCACGCTTGTTTGTTTTTTATAAAATATGTGTTTGTGTGGTCTTACCTTGAAATAAAGGCATAAGAGTCAAACCTTGCAAATTCAATCTCCACTTTACTGAATAACTGTGCATTAAAGTGGTTTTCTCCTTTTTGTTGTCTAGGAAATTGGATAGAGAATAAAACCTCTGTCTTTTCAGAAGGCCCACGATCTAGTTAGAAAGAGCCTGAGTCCTTTGAGGAGCAGATGCTATGTCTGTGAAAGAGAAAATTACAATATTATTCACAAATGCTACTAATATTTATATTCAACATAAAAGCAAATAATTATCTAGCAATTCTATTCACTGGACCAAAAAATTCTAGTGTCTATGATAATAATGCCTCATTGCTTTTGTTTAAATCCAGAGATTATGACTTTCAAATCTTTCTTTTTCAACTACAAGGTGTGATTCCTAATATAAAATGGTATTAGGTTTCTTTATCTAGAGAAATGGATTTCATTTAAAAATTTCTCCTATCCTCTTTTAATCTGAGATAGAAAGGGTAAATATATTATCTATGATCTTACCAGAAAATACAGTGTTGTGTTTGTCATTTTTTATTACTCTTTTTAATATCCATGGTACATAGTAAGTTTGAAATGTATTCCAGACTTGAAATTATTTTTCTTTTGCATGTTAAACTAATTGGATTGAATACTTTTTAGTACTTTTGTTCAACTCCACATAGAAATTGTAGATTATTCATCTGAAATGAATGAATTTTAAATTACTTAAACTTTGCATTAGTGTATGACTCTCTGAGACTGGTTTTAAAGAACACACAACTCTCTTTCCCTTGCACATTACTGATTTAATTTGTCTTGGATACACATACCATATATCTTGAATTTTTTACAATGTTATGTTGTTTATTATACTTTGATAGATTCACAAATTATTTCTACTTTTCTTTAAACAAGTATATTTGGAAATTTGATAGTTTAAGATGAACTAGCTTATGCCTTTTAAACCTTGATGATGAGCACTAATTGTCTCACCACGTCGTTTAAATGGCTGAGCGTAATCCTCCTGATGCAATTCATAACATATATCCCAGAACAAATTTGTCTTTTCAAGTGCTCTAAAGTTTCAAATACCTCTTTCCTTATTTTACTCAGCTACAATCTGCAATTTATTTTTCTCCAGGAAAATTGAATCTGTTACTGCTTAGTATTCCTACCAGTTTGAAAAATGTGGTTTATATTGGCATCAGAGCAGTAATTTACATATATTGGGATAACAAGAATGCATGCCAGAAAAAGATCAACATAAAATGAAATGCAAAAAAGCTGTTTTCCTTCAATAGTAACCCCAAGTGAAGCTAATAGAGAAATTGATGAGCATCTGCCCTGAATGTGTCACTTGTTTCTTCTAGGTGAAGTGTGACCAGTATTGGCCCAGTAGAGGCACAGAAACCCATGGGCTGGTCCAAGTGACGCTTCTAGATACGGTGGAGTTGGCCACTTACTGTGTGCGGACTTTTGCACTTTACAAGGTTTGTCTTTATTTTTTTCCGTCCCTTTACCCTTTTCATTTTTTAAAGAAAGCATCTTTTGAGAAATCAAATATCTTAAGACTTTACTTAAATCTTGATTCCACTGGCAACGGTGAGGAATGAAATAATTCTTCCATTATCGCTCAGCAATTTTTCTCCTTCTCCAGCGATTTATCAGTAAATGTGGAACTCTTGCTCCGGACAGAAGTTTTGGCAAATGAAGAATAGATGAAGAAGAACTAGTTCTTACTGTAAAATACAATAGGCGTACTCCTGATAGTTACACCTGAAAAATGCAGTGCTTCTCACCTAAGAATGTTCATCTCCCTGAGCAAATACTTGTTTACAAAGAGTTTGACATTGATAGCTCCAAAGAGTGCATCTTCCCAAAGGTCATAGGGTAGGAGGAGGAATTAAGACAGCACATTTTCATGTTACCTCTTCCATGTTGCTACTCATCGTTACAACCTGAGGCTAGGAACACAAAATTTTACCCAGTCTTCCTACTTCACAGAATGGGTCAAGTGAGAAGAGAGAAGTGAGACAATTCCAGTTCACTGCCTGGCCTGATCACGGTGTTCCAGAGCACCCTACGCCTTTCCTAGCTTTCTTACGGAGAGTCAAAACCTGTAACCCTCCAGATGCAGGACCCATGGTTGTGCACTGCAGGTAAGAACCACCAAAAGCATTTGTTTTTCTCACAGTCAGAAGGCCCATGAGGAAACAGAAAGCTAGATTGTTCCTCACTGGATAGTCTCTTTCCAATTTCTATTATCCCAATTTCTGGGATAGTAGATTGCTTTATAAATAATGAAAGTGTTTTGGGGGGCACCTGGTTGGCTCAGCTGGTTAAGCAACTGCCTTCAGCTTAGGTTATGATCCTAGAGTCCCGAGATGGAGTCCCACATCGGGCTCTCTGGTCGTCAGGGAGCCTGCTTCTCTCTGACCCCTCCCCTCTCATGCTGGTTCTCTCTTTCAAATAAATAAATAAAATCTTAAAAAAAAAAAGGTGTTTTTTAATCAAACAAGGCCTATATTAACATTGGTAGAAAGGATTTGATAGGGATTAATATGCCCCTCTGGACATGATAAGCAACTATGGTCCTTGCTATTTTCTCTTTGGAGCAAAAATAAATAAATATGTAAACACAAAATTAAATGTGCTCATGGTAATAACTATATGAAACAGAAAAGAATTAAGAATCAGTCTTGTGATTTGGTTCAAGTTTCATCTATGTGAGGAATATTCTTTAGAAGATGATAGATGATAGATAGATAGATAGATAGATAGATGAATTATTTGATAAGTTCTTGTGGCCTGGGCTGATAAAAACCTTTTCCCTATGTATAGGAAAGAAAATTTTGAACAAAATGATACAATAAGTATAAAAGCTTTCAGAGAGGGTGTCATACTGCTTAAAGATACCTTCCTATAAAGTATTATCAAGTCACATATAGAAAATATACTAATTTGAGTTTTTAAAATTTACTTAATATAATATAAAGACCTACATTTTGGAAGAATTTATTTTATGTATTAGGAGTTAATGAGCCTGTATTTCTTTTGAAGTGTTGTATAATTTATTATTATTTTTTACTTAATTCTGACTAATATTCTTTATATCACCACTCGGATTCTACTATATATGTGTTTATACATTTTTAGTATTTAACTGATTTCTTACCAGTTCCTTAGTTCCTCTCAAATATCACCACGAACATATTACTAAAGATACCTGGTCATATTCTGTATGTTACTATATAAATGTATAATTGATATAATCCCTAATAGTTCTTTGTAAACTGGGTACTTCAAACATGAGAGAATATGGTTTTCTGCTGCACAGACAAGTAAAACTGCAGTGGGTAAGTATATTAAAAAAGAAAGCATCTGTCACAAACCATTTCTATCATCACTTAATACTATAGCTCTTTCACATCCCATATCATACTTGAGCATAATACCCTGGATCCTAGAAATGTTTTTACAAAAAGATGGAGACAACATAGATCAAAATAAAAGCAATAAAACTCCCCTGACTAACCCATGCTACAGTGGAAATTCTTAAACAGTGGCCTAGCAGGTTTTGAACAAGGAGATGCTTATTTCTCTTTCCCAGCAATTTTTTCCCAACAAAAACTAATCGTACCACATTATATTTATAGAGTATTTTATAAATTCCAAGGCTCTCTCCCGTGTTTTATTCTGTTTGATGATCTTAAAGGTATGTCAGTTCAAGAGAAGAGAGCAGAAGAGAAGTTACAGGGTTTGGTGTAAGTACTGAGAGCTAGGAAGCCAGACATAGTCCTGCTCATGTTTTATAATCTAGTACTTGCTCTTCTGGACCTGACACTATGTTACATTGTTTTACATGGTTCTGAAACACTAAAAATTATTTTTCTTAACTTGAGCTAATGCTTTTGCATCATGACAGCAGATTTCTGATTCTCCTGCCTATTGATTTCAGCAGCCATTAGTTTGACCAGTCTGTATACTCTGTTATACATACTTCTTTGAATATGTCAAAGAGTCATTGTGCCTGGTGACATGCCCCTCCTCCACCAGCTCAACTTGATTATGAAGATCACACAGGAAATGTTTTCAATTGAATTTTGGCTGCAGAATAGGGAAACAAGAAGTTTGGGCTCATTGAAGAAAGGTTGCCCTCATATTCCTAAAGGCAAAAAGGCAGTTTGCACAGATACACACATACAGAGATACATACACAAACGCATACACACACATTGAGACATATATAAATGCGAACAAAAATTAAGGAAACCTAACTTGGGAGTTTTCATAAAACATTGTATTTGTATTACAGTTTGAAATATAGCATGTTCCCTCTCTCAAAATGTGTTTCCCAATTCTGTGAATTAAGATAGAGCACCCGGGAAACTTGACAGAATGACTGATTGATAATTTAAAGACACAGTTGATCATATCCTCTGTTGATCATAAGCAAGGTATAAGGCTATATGCTAGATACTTAGTTGGATCCAGAAAAGTTTGCAGGCAAGTAGCAGAGATAAGATAGGTAGCTATATGCTTTATTTTGAGAAAATGCATGCACTTTTATGTACACCCACACCCCTAGGTTATGTTAAGCCACCTGGACTCACCTCTGAGAGATACAGACAACTTTGGAGAAATAAGGAAACAAAGATAAATGTGCAGTGCTAATAGCTGTTGACATTTGGAAGTGCTGTGCCTGAGGCTCTGGAGAAGCTTTGTATTAAACAGAAAAGTAGGTATATCGGTAGAAGAAATTTGTTAGTGACTTTGAAAAAAAATGAGGGGAAAGTGGAACGTAAACTGAGCTCTGATATTGACTTGGACACAGTATATGTTAAAACTTCAGAGCACAATTTTTCTGATGGAGTGTCAGAGAATAGTCACCGCAGACAACCACTGCTTGTGTGGGACCCAAGAAATGCCAGTTTAGAACTCATCTCTAAGCAGGCAGAAACTTTGCAGAAAGCCACAATAGACAAGTTACAGAGGGTTATCAGTGATGGTAATCATGATCATGTTGTAAATGATCACACAAATACTCTGAAATTTAGTAAATACTGTATTTCATGTTGTGATTTTTTTTTTCCTGTAATGGATTTGACTTTCTTTTTTTTTTTCCCTCTGTTATGAAGAAGTAGTGACAAACTCAAACCCAAGCCTTCTGCCAAACAGATTCTGGGAGAATGGAAGAGGCTTTAAATGAAGTCTGGTAGTAGACCAAACAGAGGGAGAGGGGGCAGAAAAAGAGAAGATTCACGTTCCTCCAATAGTCCTGTCTAGTGATAAATGTGCCAGGAGTAAAAAGAGCTACTATGAAGAAGAAAAATTCTTACAGTCAGTAGTAAGAAAGGGCTAGGAGGATAATCTAGTGGTAATCTCAGACAAGACCTTGGAAAGTTGAGAAGGCTAGGGTCTACCACATTCATAGAAGAATGGTTCTACAGACCTAGGAAGAAAGACCAGCTCTAGCTATCAGTCAGTTCTTACAGACTATATAAACTTAGCATTAGGAGTGCACATGCTGGAGTTTTTGCTTATGGGATTTGTGCCTTTGAGCAAGTTATTTGAAATCTGCTAGCTTGGGTTTGTTCACTGATAAGTAGGGTAACATTCTTCATAATAATAAGAGTTTCATGAAGATTAACTGAAATGATATGAAATGATAAAGCACTTAGGACAGTGCATAGAATGTAGAAGTATGAAATGTTAAATTGTTAGTGTATTAATTATTGAGTAAGTTTTAAAAAGATGTACATATAATTACACTTAAGAGAAAATAATCAATATTAACTTGGATATAATCTATGTGACTTGAGCCATGTATCCTATGAATAAACAGATTTTTTAAAAGATTTTATTTATTTGTTAGAGAGAGAGAGCACAAGTAGGCAGAGCAGCACGCAGAGGGAGAGGCAGACTCTCCGCCAAGGAGGGAGTCCAACGTGGGGCTCGGTCCCAGGACCCTGGGATCGTGACCCAAACTGAAGGCAGCCACTTAACTGACTGAGCCACCCAGGAATCCCTAAACAGATATTTCTAAACATGCAATATTTAATCTAATAGATTTTTAGAAATTTAGATGTTTTCCATAATGGTAGTTTTGTCAAATTTTCCCCAGTGACAGAGAACATTTTCTTGTTTGCTGTGAGTTAGAATCATTTATAATAACAAATCCGTGTTTACAAAGACCTGAGAAACCATTGAGCTCATAAGATGATACCATTAAGGATACATAGAAATTAATATGATGGTTCTTGATGCCGTCAAGATGAAGTTTGCACTTAGCATTGTGTCCTTGGCCCTTTATAATCTAAACTGATGTCTCTTTCATGCCTCATTGTTCACTCTCTTAGTCACCTACCCTAGCTACACTTTTGAAGTACTTTTATCTCTGGCTCTTGGTAAATGATATTTATACACTCTAGAATTTTACCTGTTCCCTTCTCCATCTGCTGATGTTCAATCCTGTTTCCTAATTTACCTCAAGTAGCACTTGCCATGTATTTGCAAAAGTTGCAAATTGGCCTCAGGTAGTTTTGTTGATATCCATGGTATTTTTTTTTTAAATTTGAATTTGAATGCCTTTAAACTGGAATGCACTCTCTAGTCTTCCAAACCTTCCATAACCTTATTGTTTTATACACGACTCAACCCATCCATTTATAGGAATTGCTTCATATTGCAAACATGAGTTGAAATTCTGGAAAATCCTTTTAAGCTCATTTCCCATTACTCTTCCTGCAGAAAGAATTAAACACTGTATTCTCTGAGCTCTCATAAAATAGGTTCACACTTAGCATATTAACTGTATATGTACAGATCACATATGCCTTGAAATCCCAGAGGGTATAGTTGATGGATTATGCACATTTGTATCACAGCTCTTACATCATAGTAGGTGCTCAATAATTGCTTTCTGAAGTTAACTGAATTCCATGTGGTGTTTTAGAAATTTTTTTTTTTTTTTTTCCCTTCCTCAAGAACTTTATTGTATAGTGGGTAAAAGACATTTTTTTTTTTCACCTCTTTTTTTTTTTTTTAATTTTATTTTTTTATAAACATATATATATATATATATATTTTTCCCCCAGGGGTACAGGTCTGTGAATCTCCACATTTACAAACTTCACAGCACTCACCATAGCACATACCC